CAAAGGGCCTTGTAATTTCTATGTGTATTTGCTTATATGACTTGGGCTTCAGCTGACCACAGTAGCCTAGGAGACAGTAATTGCTTTGTGATCTGTTCAAGGCTGCCAAATAAACTTGAGTGGCCACCCAACCTTTACAGCCCAAGTGCCTTATTCTCAGTGGTAGTGGTTGCTTTTGGGGTACCAGCTGTAGCATACGGTTCTAGTCCAGAGCACCTGGGCCTTTAGGCTGGTCAGGATTCCAAGGCTGTACAGGACCTGACTGACTGGCAGTATCTACCATCGTCACCAGAGATGCCACTGTCCATTCGAGGTCTGCCTGATCTACCCTCAACTTTCATCTCCTAGTCTCTGTTGTTCTGTGCTTCCTAGTTGCTCTATCCCTTCTACCACATTTGCGGTTACGCAGCATCATCTCTAAAGTGTAGCTACTGACATTAGTGACTACCTTCTTGTTACATCTTCCGAAGAAAATTCAACCCTGTTTTGAATCCCTAATTGAAGAAAGTGGGAAAATTGACCTATTACAAAGTGTTCTTCAAAAGCAAAGCACTCTTTCAGGACAGAGCCAAAGAAACCCAATGCTGTGAGGCAGAATGAGTGTAATGTAGGCCTTGGCTGTCCCCTGCAAGTGGGAACTTTGTTCCTTGCCTTATTCCAGTTCCTCTGAGGCTGACATCAGGCCCTGTCGCAAGAAGTGGTGGCTATCCTGATGTGTGAGGCGCCACCCCTGGCCATATCTGGATATTCTGAGGACGGGCTATGGTCCTTGGAAATCCCTCATCATCACCTCTTCCTCACCCACAGTAGCCACAAAGCAAGTGGTCCACCACAGTCTAAGTGCCACTGGTGATTAACTGGTGAAGTGTGAGAAGGTCACTTTTACATCCTGTGTTACAGAGGTCACTACAAACCTCCATACACATTGCTCGCTTTCTGTTTTTTCTTAACTCTTCCTGTAACCTTAATGTTCATTATTTTCTTACAATAATCACCAACCCCCTTTTCTTTCCCCAGTGCTACATATTATAGTCAAGGAAAGCAGAGCACAGCAGGACTGTCATACCCAACCAGCCCGTGGTGGCCACCAGTGTTACGGATGTGGGCTCTGATTTTGTCACTGCTGCTAGGGAGTAGCCACAAGTGACAGTGTGTCAGTCGATAGTGTAATGGCTTGTATCATCAATGGGGCTATAAAAACCAGGGAGGAAAGTAAGTTTCAACCACCTAGGAGTGGCAGTATCCCCGATAGCAACTTCCACTAAAGACAATATGAAAACATACATGCACAATAAAGTCTCCAGAAGAGACTTACCTAGGACTGAATGTTTAGGAACTACCAGAGGCGAACAATCAGACGAGACTCTGATTGGGAAAAAAATGCAAGCACTCAACCAGGCATTAGGGAGCACACAGAAAACAAATCCAATGTTCTCTTCGTGATCGTTATTAGTACAAATGAAACAGGTTCCTTCTCCATAGATAATAGCCTGGCTTGATAGGTGGTAAGTGCCTGAGCTGTAAGTGCACAGCTTGAAAATTCTTTACAAAACTTAGGAAGTGACAACTTACCTCAAGCCTCAGGTTACTAACAGCAGCCCAGAACTTCGCCTCCCGCTGCTGCCGTCTGAGCAGTAACACCCTCATTGGGAAGAGCCAAGTGTTCCCTCTTCAGCCAGCACCGGGACTCGTTCTCTTGGTTTGGATGTTTTGATTAACATAGTCATGGTCCTTCACACCTGGCTTCACTTTCTTGTCACATGTAGTTGTAGTCTGGGGTTTGCATTACTGTACAGTATTTGGGCTCATCACAACTTACTCATTGGTCCCACTGTTGATGGACAGCTGAATTATTTCCAGTTGTTCACTGTTACAAGTAGTGATCCGATGAACACTTATATTCGGGGGGAGCGATGTAAGGGTGTAGCGTGGCTGCTTCTAAACAGTAAATCCAGGGAAAGCAAGGAAAACAAACACATAAACAAATATTTCCCCGAAAAGTCTCCTAGTTTAGTGTGAATTTGCTTAATAACGACACACAGAATGGGACACATCCTGCCCCGTGAGACCCCCCCCCCCCCGCTGAGGCATGCTGTATGATTACGTGGGCGCTGGCCACAGTGTTGTTGTCCTACACATATATTGTTTTCCTTTGCTACTCCCGTGGACTTGTTCAAGCCTGAAACATTTCTCCTGCTTTAATGCATTTTTTTCACCACTAGAGGGCAGGAGTGACCCCGCAATGCTAGGCCCGGCCGGATCTGCCATCAAAACGTTCAATTACGGTGAGGCAAAAACAAGGAGCTAGAGAGAAAAAAGAAAGAAAAAAGGAAGAGCCCGCACAGGCGAACTGAACGGCCATAAGCTTCAAGTTGCCTGCATAAGGACGGTGTGGAATCGTCAGCGCTTTCTAGCTCTCTTGCCGTCTTCCTTCTCTTCTTCCCAGCTTTTCATAATCAGTTCCCCGGCCTGCCTACCACCCAGTAGGCCAGGACGAGGTCAGACCCACAGATCGCAGAGGGCATTTTCAGCGAGGTGCGGAGCCTTGACGACTAAGAACGTTGAGAATCCTGCCAGTCCCCGAGTCCCAGGGGCTCCGAGCACGCCACGGGGCCTTCTCTCCTTCTGGTGCACGAGGCACGTTGCTTCCAATAAAACTGTGCTGTTTACCGAAATCAGGACTGCTGGGGAAGGCTGTCTGCGCCGCTCCTTTCTGTCCTCCTCCCCGCTAGCCAGCCCCTCTGCCGGCCACAAACTGAACCAATATTGCAGAATGGAGATTTTCTTTCCTTTCTTCCTTTGCTCCTTCCTTCCTTCCTTCCTTCCTTCCTTCCTTCCTTCCTTCCTTCCTTCCTT